AATGTATTCAAGTATTTCTATGAAGCAAAATATGAACGAAAACTAAATGAATACAAAAGAAATTGAAGCAATTTTATAGAAATATCCATCTCTTGAGTGCTTTCCTTCACATTATTGTTCATCTCTTCCGTCGACTTCTTGACGTCCGACCACTCGAACCGAATCTCGTGAAGACTTCCCGTCAGCATCTGATCCGTCAAAACCACAGTTTAGACTATTTCTGTTAATTTTATGTACTTTTAATGAAATATTTTTAGTGTTTATTATTTAAAAGGTTTCATTTGACTACATTTTCAATAAAAGAGTTTTAAAATTAATTTTCTACCTAAATGTTTATCTCATTCAATATGAGAGGACATTATTATTGAAAACTTTATTAACATTACTGTAGTTACAGGTATTATCAAATACTGTCAATATTTGAAAAATATTACAACTTTATGATACAATACATATATATTATATACAGTATATTATATAAGGGGTGCCTATTTGTTAAAATAGTTTACTCCTATTCTGAACATAATTTGAAAATAAATTAATTCTTACAGTGAATATGTTTGAATAAAGTATTTATTATTAAACTAGTTCTGATAATAAGTTTTAAATAACTAGTGCAAATTTTTATAATAAAGATTATTAATTTTTCATTAAATAATTAAAGAATTTTAATATAAATTAACCTTGTTGCACCGGAAATAATATTAACTTTCAAGACAAACGAATATTATAAATTCCAACTCTCTTTGTAATTTGCCTGGCTTATCAGTTATATGATAGTCGTGTATTATATTTATGAAGTATATTCAGTGTTATACAGTTTGAAGTATTATAGTAATATACACAATATATTTGTGGTTTTGTATCAAAGTTTGATTTCCCAGCAAAGAGTGTAATCAAGATTTGAGGCAAAAACTGTTGATTTCATATTTTCGTGCCATAAGAATAGTTTGAGTTATTTATCAAACAATTGCTTATCTTTTCATGTATTCAATGAAGACTTGACTTCATTTCATAAACGAATTAAGCATTTATTTTGGGTGTGACTAACACTCATGTAATTCACTATTTAATACATATTAATACTTCAATTTAATATAACAAATCTGATCAAAACTTTTTATACTGTGATTCAAATCACCGCAATCATTATCATCACATCTAACGGTATGTATTGATACTTATTTAATCATATAATCAACAGAATATCAGTTAATGTTTTGATTTTTAAACTTATAAAGAATTTCGCAAAAATTGTATAGTTTTGAGTGAATTATTGTTTTCTAATGATTTCCGTTACAAAGCTTTAGTCAATATATAATTGTGTTTATGAGCGGAAATGTTTGAGAATTCATTCACTTCTCAATTATAAGTATAATATAAATATTGATTTATTGTCATATAATTCATGTTATGCTCAATGCTAATATTGAAATTGTGNAAAAAGAGATATTATATATGGTTTGATATATAAAAGTAAGTCATTTTATTTACACTTTACTATTGGTTTAATATATGAATTAAGGAATGTGTTGAATATATTGCATATGAAACACACAATTGAGTGAATAATCGTAAAAATATTTATCCATTTATTTGTTTCTCGACCACATTATGAAATGAAAAGTGGTTTACAATAAGAAGTTGTGATTTTTGGATATATATTTTGAACAAACATTTTTCTTATTATAATTATTAACGTTTAGAGAGAAATGGAGACAATATTATGGACTTTAATATTGTTAATATCAACGGCCGGTGTATTGTGCCAATACGGGTCCAATCAGATTATCGTTGATTCAAATCCAGTCAGCGCTTCGTATGATTTGTACCAAACAGTCATAGAAAGGGAATGTATAGCCCAAAACAGCCAGGCCAGTCGGGGCCGGCTATGGCCTGTGGGTCAGAGTATTGAGAACTTCATAGCTCAGGTCGAGCTGTTGGAGACACTCATACATAATGGCACCGATGCTAACCTCGGACAACATAGGGGTGCCGATAATGTGGCCAAACTTTTGCTAAGAAGGTATTCATTTAATTATTTTTCAATTATGTTTAATTTATTAAGCAAGCTAATTAAATTCTACAAATTTTTATCACTACTTATGCCATATATGCCCTATAATAAGTTAGTATAGGAATACAGTAGTGTTTTTATAGTAACGTTTTATGATGTTTTAACTCTTTGATAATAACACCTTTATAAAAGTTATAGTTTTTGTGGCATTAATATGAAATGATTAAATTGAATGTAAATGTATTATAGGTTCCGTTTCGAGGGCTATGATCCGTCAGCCCATCCCTTATATAAGAAGCCGAGGGAAATAAACAGTGAAGTGTTTAACAGCGCTATACTAAAGCCGGTGACGGGTAGCTCTGAATTACCGCAGGGCTACTACTTTCCCGATCAGTATTTCAGTATAGAGGAGAAGTGCTCAATGCATCAGATGCTGTCCCATAATATCTACAATTTAAACAAGGTCAGGCGGCCGGCATACTCCCAGGTATTTAGAGGCAAACGACAAGCCATTAGTAACAGACAAAACTTGAATCAATACCAAAATCAATACCAAACCCCAAACCAACGCCAAACTAATTGGCAAAATGCGGCCCCAAATGGGAATAATAACTACAATAACAATAACAACAACCGATTGCCAATCGCCTCCAACTATGTGAACAATTACGGCGTCAATCGCACCCTATATCCCATCAGAGAGGAGGGTGTCGTGAGTTTGCGGGCCAATCAACTCGAGGCCATAGCTGTGGCGCGAGTACTGCTCGGAGTGATCGCCGGCTTAACACCGCAGGCGAAGACACAGACCCGGGATATCCTGAAGGCAGTGGGATATACGGAGACAATTAAGGGTGATTACGACAAACAGTTGGATCCGGTGGCAGCCGTCACACTCGCAGACCTCTGGTCCGCCAAGAATGACAATCAAAATAATAATCCCAATAACCCGGATCAGTCCGGTGCCATACAGTTTAGCGATTTGTATGGCTATGGCGCTGACGGCAAGTGGAGCTCCACGTCCTGTACGTCCCACTACGGTCTCGACAAGATTCCGATGAGTCAATTGGATCAGATCGATACTCTCTTGCCGTATATCATCGCCACAAAGGCTGAGATTAGGGGCGGTATTGATGGCTATTTGATTGGTAAGAATCTTCGCAACAACTACAACATGATTGACGACCCCTCCCGACTCCGGTTGGCTACTATACTGCGCGCCTACTATTCAAAGCCGCAAACACCCAAATCGACCACTTTTACGGCCAGTTATTGCGATCGACAGAAGGTTACCACTCAAGAGCTCCAGAATATCCGCGAAAGCGCCCAGACATACCAGGGTCTCCTCGCCATGAAGTTTGGTCTCAGAATGCCTCCTGATTTGTCCGATAAGTTTCAGTCTGAGCTCAACAATGCCATCACTACTCCAGGTATGTATTGCTTACTATTATCTGTCGGCACATGTATTGTATGGTTACAGTTAGCGCCTGTTATCGGTATCCAATACGGGAGCCCTTTAGGGCCTACGCTCTACATCATAGGCAACGGAGTATGGATAGCGGCGATCACCTAATGGTTTTAAGGGGACATACACTTACCCAGACCCTTTATTCTATTTATTGGTTTTTGAGGTTTATTATGAGCTAACTTTGAACTAACTTTTATTAGTTTTAATTGTGATGATTCATTGACATTGTAAGGCTAGGGTGTGTCCCATAACAAACTAATGGTGTCGTCACCACTAACTGTTTCTCAAATTTGATGCCATAATACTATTCACTAATATTTATACAATTTTCTAAAAATTATTTATCAATTATAGGGACGTCGGGCACCGACTTCTGTAATACACCGGGAGGTATACTCGACAAGACAGCCCCCTGCGAGACCCCATCGGACGTGATCTATATAATCGATGGGTCGACACCACAAAAGCTGCAGCAGTCGGCCGACATCGTGGCCGCCACTAACGCTATGCTCAATAACATCCGCAGCGATGGCGGAGTGATCTCCATATTCCTCAACAGTCTCGGCAGTAATGACATCAACAACCCGCCAAATATGCCGCTCGGGATATGGCCTCTCGTGCCCGTCTCCTTCAACAGCTCCAACACCGGGTGCTCTCAGTGTCGTATCGATGACTTCAATACAAGTATGTCTTGTCTTGAAATTAATATTGTTTTTGAAGTTTTACTAATAATTTGATGTTTGAATGATAGCGTCAAAGGGTGCGGCGAATAACGCGGGGGTACTGTTCCGGGCACTGAACACCACTCTATTCAACTACGAGTGGTGGAACCCCCGCACCAACCAGTCGGCCATTCCCGCCAAGAGTGCGGTTCTCATTGACTTCAATTCCATCGGACAATTGCCGGAGTCGGGCGTCGATCGCGACGACTATAACTACTTCAAGGATCAGCTCCGGTATCGACACAGAGATGTGCGCTTCATATCGGTGTCCTCACAGCCGGAGCTCTTTAAGGATATACTGCGCGAAGACACCGATAGAGAGATTCCCGGAAATAATGCCCAACAGATCGGACAGAATTTGGCCCAAAAGATATGCGAAAATCCGGCGACTTTTCAGTATAATGCCTGTCATGATAGAAAGTCCGACGGTATCCAATACGTGGGTTATATAACACCCGGGTATAAACAGAACTGGGCCATGTATCCAGAGTTTTTCCTAAGGAGTTTCAACATTAAATTTACTGTAAGTTTGAAATTATAGTTGATTTGAGTTATGATTTGGTAATAATTGCTTTGAATTGATCGCCAAAAACAGTTCAAACCAGAGGACGGAGATATCAAAGTGTGTTACGACCGGTCATTCCCACCGGAATGGCAGGACTACTGCAAGGAACTGAAGAATGGTGAGGAACAGACCTTCGAGATCAGCGATCCCTGTAAAGGCAAATCGTTTTCGTCGTGTAAACCCTTTTACTTCTCCGTTTGGGGCAAAGAGCGGACTTCCCAGTCCCAGTGCTTAGGTATGCCTCATATAAATCGCACATTTATTTTATGCTTTTAATTATGAAATCATCTTTTATGACAACTATTGTATGTATTACAGAGAAAGAGTGTATGAATTTGGACCAGATCAAGTTTACTGTCAAACATTCCGGTGTTCAGTGCAGTTCATCCCTTCACATCCAGCCCTCTGTTTCATTTCAGTTCATTTCAGTTACTATTTTCTTCATTATATACTTATTTTTAAACAAATGATTTAAAGTCTAAGAAAATATTTTTAGCTTTTTAAAATGTATTTTGATTTATAAATTATACGAAACAATAATTTATATTTTTAATTATTGTTTTTATAAGTGCTTCTGAATTTGATTAAGTAAAAGGTATTAATTGTTTACAAGAATTTTGTATTTAACTACTTTTATTTAATTATGAAATGTTTAAAATAATTGAATTCATTTTTTTAGAAACATTGTTTCAGACATTGGTTTGATTTTTTGTACATTAAGTGTTTGAAATTCACATGTATTTCTTGTTTAACAATAAAACATTTTGTCGTAAAAATTGTTTACTTAACAAATAAATGATAAAAATTTTGAGTTATATTGGATTGAGGTTCCAATGAACTCTAATTAATGATTTTAAAAATTATATTATTAATGAATTGTAAAATTAAAATAAACTTATTTGTTGTCTCATATTTTTTTAATGAAAGATGACTTTTTATTGATTTAATATTAACTGTTTGATAGTTAATACAGATATGAATGATTTTATATATTGGCATTATCATTGAATACAGAAAGTAAATTAATATTAACTGCAAATATGGTTTTATATCTTAATTAAAATTTTTTGATGTCACCTAAAATTATTCACTAATACAAATAATTTATAAAAAGTGAATATTTAAACAAAGGTGTAGTACAATTAGTACAAAGTATCAATTTCTATTACATATAGGTACTGAATTAACTTCACTATTGAATGTGGACTTTATACAGAATATGTCAATACAGTATATCACCCACATACTATATAAAATGTGATTAGGAGTATAATATTATTTGAGTTCAATTGTTATATAACTGAATGTTTGAGAAAATTTCTAAGAAACAATATTTAATTTATATAAAAAATATTATTGCAGAGAAAATACAATTTTGTCCACAATTACAGATAACGTGAATTGAAATCCAAAGACAACATAAACCCCCAAAATATCTGCGAAACCTTATTAGACGAGAAAAATTATTATCTCAACAAAACTTATTAATCTCTTAGCGATTATCACACCATAACATGTTTGCCATTAAATTGCATTATTATGTGCACAATAACTGGTGTCTCAACTGCCGGTTACACAACATTGTAGACGTGAATCGGAGGCAAACATAACAAACCAGTGCCTGTCCTATAGATACGATGCGTTAGATAATAAGGGTGTGGACTCACTATTTGGCTACTAATTAGACATCATTTGAGACATTCATTTGACGGCAAATAAATTTGCATTTATTTTCGTATTTATTTTTTTCTATAGACCAATACATAAAAAGGTAAGCCTTTTATTGTAACACTTTATCAAACGTTTCATCGCTTTTTTGATGATTTATTAATTTATAAGCTTTTGAATTACTATTTCAAAATGAATTGTCGATAATATATGCCGGTTTGTGGTCGATTGCAAACAACTTAATTATCAATAATTTTTATTTGCATTGATATGAAATCAATTTATGAATTCATTGATAAGAAATGTAAATGAATAATATTTCTTAAGATAATTATGGAAAACAATAATATTTAATACATAAATACATTTCTTTTAATTTACTTAATCATTTGTAATGCACTAATATTTTATTAGTAAACTTTTAAAAATAGTATTAAATTATATAATTATGTAAATTCACTTTGTACGGTATTTGTACTAGATAATTATTCAGAATTTTAGAAAATATTATATAATTATAGGGATGTATATATTTGCCTATAAGTAATACACAAAAACTAATACTCAAGGATTATAATTTCATATTAAATTATTAAAACAAAATTCTTGAACTAATTACATGAATAAGTAATAAAATATTTGCTTAATTTAGTACAGTAAACATTTAGTCATAATATTTATGATAATTTACCAAATATTTGATATATTGATTCATAAAAAGTTTTATCATTTAACTCCCACTATGTTTTCTATACCCTTCTCAAATATAAATAATCGTATTATTAGTTAATAAAAACAGATTAATAAATATAAAATAAATAATTTATTCTTTAAATATAGATCTCTAAAAAACATAATTGACTAAATTACCAGTCACAATTCAAAATTAGAAGTGCCAGACAAAACACATTTTATAACTTTAATACATTAAACTCTCTATAATTAACACAGTACCTTAAATGCATAAAAAGTTAATTAAATAATATTTATTAAAATTTATAATTTTACTCCGTTGCCTATGATGTAGAGCGTAGGCCCTAAAGGGCTCCCGTATTGGATACCGATAACAGGCGCTAACTGTAACCATACAATACATGTGCCGACAGATAATAGTAAGCAATACATACCTGGATTAGTGATGGCATTGTTGAGCTCAGACTGAAACTTATCGGACAAATCGGGAGACTTACTGAGACCAAACCTCAAGGAGAGGATACCCTGGTATGTCTGGGCGCTTTCGCGGATATTCTGGAGCTCTTGAGTGGTAACCTTCTGTCGATCACAATAACTGGCCGTAAAAGTGGTCGATTTGGGTGTTTGCGGCTTTGAGTAGTAGGCGCGCAGTATAGTAGCCAACCGGAGTCGGGAGGGGTCGTCAATCATGTTGTAAGTGTTGCGAAGATTCTTACCGATCAAATAGCCGTCAATACCGCCCCTAATCTCAGCCTTTGTGGCGATGATATACGGCAAGAGAGTGTCGATCTGATCCAATTGACTCATCGGAATCTTGTCGAGACCGTAGTGGGACGTACAGGACGTGGAGCTCCACTTGCCGTCAGCCCCATAGCCATACAAATCGCTAAACTGTATCGTGGACTGATCCAGGTTATTGGCATTATTTTGATAGTCATTCTTGACGGACCAGAGGTCTGCGAGTGTGACGGCCGCCACCGGATCTAACTGTTTGTCGTATTCACCTTTAATTGTGTCCGTATATCCCACTGCCTTCAGGATATCCCGAGTCTGTGTCTTCGCCTGCGGTGTTAAGCCGGCGATCACTCCGAGCAGTACTCGCGCCACAGCTATGGCCTCGAGTTGATTGGCCCGCAAACTCACGACACCCTCCTCTCTGATGGGATATAGGGTGCGATTGACGCCGTAGTTGTTCACATAGTTTGAGGCGATTGGCAATCGGTTGTTGTTATTGTTATTGTTATTGTAATTATTATTCCCATTTTGGGCCGCATTTTGCCAATTAGTTTGGCGTTGGTTTGGGGTTTGGTATTGATTTTGGTATTGATTCTGGTTTTGTCTGTTACTAATGGCTTGTCGTTTGCCTCTAAATACCTGGGAGTATGCCGTCCGCCTGACCTTGTTTATATTGTAGATATTATGGGACAGCATCTGATGCATGGAGCACTTTTCCTCTATACTGAAATACTGATCGGGAAAGTAGTAGCCCTGCGGTAATTCAGAGCTACCCGTCACTGGCTTTAGTATAGCGCTGTTAAACACTTCACTATTGATTTCCCTTGGCTTCTTATATAAGGGATGGGCTGACGGATCATAGCCCTCGAAACGGAACCTATAATACATTTACATTCAATTTAATCATTTCATATTAATGCCACAAAAACTATAACTTTTATAAAGGTGTTATT